CCCGGAGGTTGGGTTCTGAAGCCGCACTGGTGTGTGTGTGTGTGTGTGTGTGTGTGTGTGTGTGTTTTGATGCAGGGGGGCGGGGAAGGGGAGTGAGAGAAATTGGGATTGAGAGGGGAATTCTGCCAGAGACCTCTTGAAATAATGTGGTTATCTGTCGCCAATAATTCAAAATGAAAACAATATTAAATCCTACAAATATATAAAGAAGTCCCACAAAATTCTGATTTTCCCAGGATAAACACTAAAACTAAAATGAGAGAGAGAGAGAGAAAGAAAGAGAGAGAGAGAGAGAGAGAGAGAGAGAGAGAGAGAGAGAGAGAGAGAGAGAGAGAGAGAGAGAGAGAGAGAGAGAGATATGCTTCAGTGCTAGTTTGCCTCCCTTCGGGCTGGCCGGAGGGAGGGGCAGAGGGGGCCGGACCGCGGCGGACGGGGAGGACCGGGAGGACCCCGGGGAAGAACCTGGGCCCCCCGCCCCTCTTTCCCAAATTCCCCGCGCCCAGTCCGGGCCGCGCAGTCTGAGCGCAGCCCGGAGGCAGCCCCTCCGCAGGCGCCCGGCGGCGGGGGTCCGGGAGCCCGGGGAGCCGGGAGCCTGGCGCGGGCGGAAGCGCCGTGGGGCGGGCGGGGGAAGCCTGACCCGATCGGAAAGGAGCGATCGAAGCGGAGACTCAGGCGTCCGCCGGGATCCTCACCGGCTCCGTCTGCCCACGGGGCGGGTCACCGCGGCGGCTCCGGCAGCTTCGCGCCAGAGAGAAAGAGAGGACAGGGGCTCGCTGCATCCCCTTCCCGCACTTTGGGGTCAGAGTTTCGCTCCTGCGAGGTTGGGGAGACGCTAAGGGCGGGTTGCGTGGGAGACAGACAGACAGACAGACAGACATAGGTGGAGGCCGAGACCGGAGAGGCGGCGCTGCTGCGCGGGGAGAGGCCCGAGGAGCCGGAGACGGGGGCACCGCCCGGAACGCGGCCAGGACGGCGGGCAGCCGGGCTGCACCCTCGCTCAGGTTCCTGCAGCCACAGCCGGCGGCCCCCGGGCCCTGCCCCATCACACTGGGGTCCCACTTGGGGAAGGCGGAAGCGAAGATAGCTTGCCAGATCTCTCCACCCAGTTTCTGAGCTCCCTGCTTGACCCGGGCAACGTGCATAGACACTGTGCCTCCAAGTTCTCATCTGTAAAGTGGTACCTACTCATTACACTTCCCAGGAGGATCTCTTGGTCAGTTACATAAATGTCTAATCAACTATAATTGAAAAATAAAAATAGAACGGCACCTACGCATAGTGTTGTTTCATGATGAATAAATTAATGCACACGAAGCGCTCGGAACAGTTCCTGCCACGCAGGAAGCCCTCAATATCTGTCTTCTATCATTATTGCTCGTTTATGCCACAGACTTGGGTGGAGGCTCACTCTGCAGGCCCTGGGCTGGGTTCAGGGAGGCGGGGAAACTGGACAGACGTGGTGCTGGCTCGCCCTGAGGGCATTTACTGAGAAATAGATAACCTGGTGCTATCAGGGAGAAAAGGGGCTAAGAGGCAAAGCCGTGTGGGGTGGTAGTGTGACTGGGGAAACACACATGTAGGTACAAGGAGCCGCCTTCTCTGGGCCTCGGTCTCTCCTGCAGTAAAAAAGTTGGTGCGTGTGGACGCTCTTTCCTCCTGCGGGCGGACGGCTGCCTTCGGGGGCGCTGGGGGCCGGAGATGGGAGCTGGGCGGGGAGGAGTGATAGCGGGAGACCCCAGCCTTCCGAGCCTCCGCGGCCCGGAGCCCTGCCCCTCGGGAAGGAGTCTGTGGCCGGGAGAGATGCCCGCCGCCCGCCAGGATTCTGCAGGGACTTCAGGGAGAAAGGCTCCGAGGGGGCCCGCTTCTCAGAAGCGCCCTGTATTCGCACCAGGGACCCTGGAGAGCGACTTCGCCGGCCCTGGCACAGGCGGGACACAGTGTGCGGAGAGATCTCTCTGGTGCTGTGCGGATTGCTCCTGACAGCTGCGTCCTAAGCTGGAAGGCACTGCTACCACCCTTCCTTCCCGGACGAACAGCCTGTGGCTCACAGAGGGAGGGAGCGCCTGTGGACCGCTCCGGGCCCTGAACCTGCCCCTACAACACTGCATCTTTCTTTTCCTGAGCATAAAGCATGTTGCAAAGAGACCACGCATCCATCCATGCCTACTCTGTGTCAGGCCCTGGGCTTATGTGATTCCATTTAATTTTCAGAGCAGTCCTAAAAGTTAGTCTCTGTTCCAATGTTACGGAGGAGGGCCCTGAGGCTCAGAGCAGTAGGAGAGGAAGTAGGTACTCCACCCCAGGCGGGTGCACTCCAGACCTGGAGTTGTTTCCGGCTCCGCAGGAAAGGAAAAGAACTCAAGAATCTAGGTGGGGTCGAGAGAAAATCAGGCACTCAGCAGGGAGAGGTCACCCCCTGATCCTCCTCCCTGATGCTTTCTCTGGGTACGAAGGGCCGTGTCACAATCACACAGCACCATTTCTGTCCCGTGAGCAAGTACCACAGAGTGAGGCAAGGCCTCTTCCGATTGAAACAGGAAGGAAACTGGCTGGAATTGAATGGAAGTTTGAGGTGCAGACCGCCAGGTAGACCCTGACCCCCACCCCCAGGCATACTTGTCTGTTCTTGAAGGTCCCTGTTCTCCCCTACAGTCCCTAGAACCTAGAGGTATGAAGTTGGAAGGGATCCTTTCATTTCTCAGTCATTCACTCCACAGGTATCTATCGATCCACTGTCTGCCACTCTGGCCCAGGCCTTGAGCTGGCGATGGGGCTTGACACAACGAAACTGACACTACCTTAGGCACGCAGAGAGGAAGCTGCTGGTCAGGGGTCACGTGGCTCAGACTCCCCAAGCCTTCCCCCTGTCCACAGATGACTTTCAAAGTCCCAACTTGACAGGCACAATGCACCATCCATCTAAACAGCCCTGATGTTGGCCTCGCCTTCTCTTGCTGCGGTTTAAAGAAACCCCCATCTGGGCCTTGCCCAGTGAATGTTGCAAGTCTGCAGCATTTGGGAAAAGAAAATCCGCTCTGGGTTGCTTTTCAACGACAATGTAATTTTTGTGAGGTTTTACAGCCACCAGCAGAGGCTTAGAGAGGTGGCCGGACTTGCCCAAGGTCACAGGGTAGGAAATGGCTCACCAGGATGCACACCAGGCCTGCGGAAACCCCAAACCGGCTGGTACTCCCTACCTCCTCCACCACCCGCGAGAGGTCTGGGCCTCCAACAGACGAGTGGCCCAGGCGACTGCACAATTCCGGAGAAACCGCAGCTCCCGTTGCTTCCTGAGCGGGTCCAAGCAGAGAGAGGCAGCGGCGCCGGGCGGGCGCACTGCGGGTGGGAGAGGGTAGAGCGCGTCCTGGCCCGGCCGCAGCCCCAGCACTCCCCCCCCCCCACCCCACACACACCTTCCCTATAGAAACCGGTCAAATACTGGTGCGCGCCGGCAGTCCCAGGCGCCTGGCCTGGACCAGGAACCGAGGCGCGGGTCCCGCTCGTCACCCAGCCAGGCCGGTTCTGACGCAGATCTTGCGCTCAGGCGACTCACCCCACCCTCTCCAAAAAAAGTCTCCTAAACTTTAGAGCTTACTCATTTAAAAGAAAAACTCCATAAATAACAGCAGGGGACTTTTAGAAGAGGAGATGGAGGCGGATATCCGGTTCTTCCCGGGGGCCAGAAAAGCCGGAGGCTCTTACCTGCAGGAAACCTCGCAGCCCGCCAAGGCGCGTCTGTCTGGAGCGCTTCGCTTCGGCGCGGGACGCTCCCTCCCGGCCGCCTCCTCTGCGGCCCGGCTGGGCTCCGGCCCTGTGTTTTATACCACTATAGGCAATTAATATTGCATCAGCCGTATTTTAAATTTTCAAAACCCACAATATAATGTAATGGCATAAGGGCATTTATTATTAAAGGACACCCGATGGAGAGGGCGGTGGAGGAATCGCTGGGGCTGTTACACCAGGCGGGGGCGAGGGGCTGAGGCCTGGGGGCTGAGGGAGAGCTTCGGGTTTGCTTTCCCAGCGGTGGTGGTGGGGAGGGGGGAGGGAGGGGGGAGACTGCGCGGAGGGGCGACCTGCTCGGCTCGGAATTTCGGGCTGGAGGTCTGAGGACCCAGAGCTCTTTGAAGACACAGTGGAGAAATGAGCAGGCGACTCCTGGACTTGGAGCATGAATTTTTAAATCGTGAAGGTGTTTCCGTGGCTCACAAATAAAAAGGTTTCCTCCCCTTTTATAGAGGAAGTGGGCGAGAACGAAGAGAGCTAAGATGGGCTGACCGCCTACTACGCACAGGGCCCTACCCTAGGAACTGGGCCGCGGACATCTTCTCACTTAGCGCCCCACAGGGAAGCCGGGCTAGACCTTGGAGTGAGTAACCTCTTGGGGGACAATTCCAAAGGAATTTTCTGGAGAGATCACCCAGGGGCCCCTAGCAAAGACATTTTTCTCCCTCTGTGCATCCATCGCCTCCTTCCCCGGAAGGCCGTTTGGATGTCTTAAAATAATAATAATGCTTCCTATTAAGCACCAACCACTACCAGGCACCTTAAATAAACAATCTTAGTCCCAAGAATATTCGCTTCTTCTTCCAGCATACAGACAATAGGGGCTCAGGGACGTTAAGAGACTGGCTTTAGGGTCGTTCAGCCAATGGGTGGAGGCATTGGAAACTCATACAGCCCTGGGGCTTGAAAATTTGTCATCTGAGTCAAGTTGAGCAAAGAGAGGCTGATGGATGGGCGTGAGCGGGGATGGGTGGAGGGAAGTTACTTGAAACACTGAGGTCTGGGCACCACCAGCAGTGGAATCTCCCAGCAGGAGACGGGCTGAAAGGATGAGGCTGCCAGGGAAGAGGAGGAAGGAGAGGAGAGGGCATAAGACTGGCCTTCCAGGAAGTGACAGTCAGCCCTTCTGGGCTCTCCCTTTTCAATCCTTTCCAAAACTCCTTAGCCTCCTGAGGAAAAAAAAAAAAAAAAGCACTGCAATTCGGGTTGAAAAATAAAGCATTTATTTTAGAAGTTAATTGAAGGGGGTAATGAGAGGAGAAAACTTAATATTTTATTTGTATCTGCTCGGAGAACGAAACCAAAGACCACACAGCAACACGCAAATTACATGAAGCAACGAAAGATAAAATGGGATGGGGCTGGAGAGAGTGACGTGGGAAGGATCCAGGTCGGTGGCCTGGCCCCTCTTTCCACCAAAAATTATAAGTGAATCTCCATCAAGAGGCACTCATATAAGGGGGGCGAAAAGAAGCAGCATTAAATAAATAACAGGAAACAAAGATGCTAACAATAACAACAATGAAAGAGTGGCGAGGTTAGACGTGTTGGAAGGACTTGCATATTGTAGCTCGGAGAAGTTATGATTACTTTCGAGCAGCGGCCTCTGCAGTGCACTGGCACCTGGCTGGATTAGGGAGCTGGGATCCAGAGTTATCTGTCAGACCGGAACACTACCAACCCCTGGCCCTCCAGCTGGCGGCAATTACCAGCAGGTAGGAAAGGATGGACCAAGGCAGGTGCCCACTGCTGCTTGCAAATAGTAAAGAGACCCCAGCATGAAGGCCCTTTTCTGGAGTAGGACCTACATGGAGAACGACTCCCCGCACGATTTTCCTGAACTAACCCATGCTACCTTAGAGAACTTACAGCAAACCAAAGAATGAGATGGATAAAGTTTAGGAGGGGAAGGGAGTATAAGGCTATCCTTCGGAAACATACATGATTTTATATAATCTAAATAAATCTCCAGTACATCTTGGTGCCCCCGTTTGACTTTGTATTATTATTTATCATTGCCTCCCCATCCCTAGTCGAGCTTAGCAATCAATGTGGCCCCTTCAGCACAGAGTCCTGTGGTCTGGTCCAATTCACTAACCCCTGCGTTTGGGCTCCCCATCCTGAAGTCGCGCAGTCCAGAGCGCCAGGGAGATTTTTTTTCAGCACCATGGACAGCACAAGTCCCTCCAGGCTCGCCCTTTGTGAATTTTTTTCCTTAGTGCCAAAACTTTTCTGGTGGGAATAGAATGGGGAAAAGGAGAAAGAGAAGTCCGGGAGACAACCGGGTGGGGTAAAGGAGAAAGTCTGTGGCTCCGGTAAGGAGAGCCTGACCTGCCAGAAAACATCTTGGAGTCCCCCGTTACCGTCCCTCCCCCCCAGGACGTGCACAGCTTCCCCGGCCCCCAGAGGCTGAGCGAGCCCCGCCGCAGTCAGTGGACCGCCGAGTACTTCATTCGTTTCTGTTTCTGTCTCTGGTTGCAGAACCAGACCCTCACCACGTTCTTTTTAAGGTCCAGTTTCTCGGCGATGGCCGCGATCTTCTCGGAGGAGGGCCGCGGCTGGATGGCGAAGTAGGCCTCGAGCGAGCGCTTCTCCGGAGCCGCGATGGACGTGCGCTTGCGCTTCCGCTCGCTGCCGTTGAAGAGCTCCGGCTTGCTGTTCTTCTCCCGGTAGGCGGCCTCGGCTTCCTCCAGCCATGCCTGGAGCACCGGCTTGAGTGCGATCATGTTGTTGTGCGAGAGCGTGAGGGACTCGAACCTGCAGATGGTGCTCTGGCTGAGCGAGCCGACGCCGGGGATCTTGAGGTTGGCGAGCGCCGCGCCCACGTCCGCCTGGGTCACCCCCAGCTTGATGCGCCGCTGCTTGAAGCGCTCGGCGAAGGCCTCCAGCTCCCGCGGGTCCGACTCCACGTCGCTGAGGCAGGCGGGCATGGCGCTGTGCGGCGCCACGGCGGCGGCGTGCGGGTGGCCCATGCCCATGGCCTGGTGCAGGTGGCCCATGGCGCCCAGGTGGTGCGGGTGGATCTGCGCCGGCATCACGGAGTGCTCGGGGGCGCCCAGGCCGCCGACGCTCAGCGTGGGCGAAATGTGCTCCAGCAAGTCTCCCTCCAGGCCCTGGTGCACCGCGTGGTGCGGGTGCGAGGTGAGCGCGGCGGCAGCCGGGTGCGAGATGGGCACGGTGGACGACGTGGACGTGCAGGGCACGCTGCTCATGGTATGGTAGGTGGCGTCGGGCTTGAACGGGTGGCTCTTGCCGTGGGAGACGATGTCCACCGCCGCCAGAGCCTCGGCGCGCGCCAGCAGGCTCTCGTCAAAGCTTCCAAATATATTGCCCTGCAGCTGCAAGCGAGAAAGGCGCACAGCGCGGTCAGTGGGGAATACCGTCAGCTCAGGATTAAAACACATTTTCACAAGCAACCGAGATGCCTCTCCTACTCAAAGCCCAGGTCATAAAAATTAATACTGGAGGCAGAGGCTCTGCTGGAACAGACGTGCGGATCAGAGACATGAATGAGAGAGAGAGCTCGCGCCGCACAGGGAGAAAGCGCGGGGGAGACAGGAGAGGGGTTCAGACAGCGAGCGGCGATTGTTCTGGGCGGCATGAAAAAAACATGAAGCCAGTGCCTGTCAAAAAAATTAAAAGAATGTGCCTTAGAGCGGTAATTATGCGCCACTACGTACCTGCGGGGCCGGGAGACAGACGCGGCGCATGGCCTCGGAGCCGGAGTGCAGGCTGGAGAATTTGGGTTCCTGGAGCACCGGGTGCATGCCGAAAGGCTGCTTGGCGTTCATGGCCATCATCTTCGCGCGCCTGGCGGGGAGGCAGCCCGGGGCATGGACCTGGCTCCTCTCGCTCGCTGGCTCGCTGCGCTCCAAAGTGAGCGCCGCTCAGCACCCGCGCTCCCCTCGCCCTCCCGCTCGCGGCCTCCCCTCTCCCCCACCTGCCTCCTCACTCATCTTACACGCCGCCTGCCAGGAGGCCCGGAGCGCGCAGGCGTGCTCACGCCGGGCTCGCAGGGGCCGCCCCGGAGGCAAGGCCAGGCAGGCTCTCCGCGCCTCCTCGCTGCGCCCGCCCGGCTTTTATACCCCGGCCGCCCGGGCCTCTCCAGCTGCCCCGCCCCGCCTGCATCCGACCCGGCCGGTCTTCCGGATTCTTTCTTTCTTCTTCTTCTTCGTGGACTTTTCCCCTCCAAAGTCCCACACCTCTCCCTCCTGTTCCAACTCGCATTGCCCGGACCCAAAGGCGGCCCCGGGCTGAGTGGGGGGCCCAGAAGTTGTCTCTCTCTCTCTCTCTCTCTCTCTCTCTCTCTCTCTCTCTCTCTCTCTCTCTCTCTCTCACACACACACACACACACACACACACACACACGCACACACACACACACACACACAAACTCCTTGTCGGACCGGCTGCCGCCACACTGCCCATTTCCAGGGCTCTCCTGGCCCCACGCCCGAGCCGTCCACCAGAGTCCGGGCCCGAGACGCAGCCAAGAAGCAGGCGCCTCCGAGCGCCCAGACGGGCTCCGGGAAGAGGGGGCGGGGGGGGGGGGCGCTGCCGTAATGAGCCCCAGGTGGCCCTCACCCCCAATTGTTGAAGTGGGGGAAGTCACTGCCTGCCCAGTCCAGGAGGCCTGTGGCTTTCTCCCACCCTGCCTTTGCTTAAGACAGCTTTGCCCTTTCCTCCTCTCCACAGCCCGCCGGCCTAAGGAAGGTTTACTGAGCACTCAGGATCAGTGCTCAACTAAGGAAGCTTATTACGGATTTTTATTTATTTATTTATTTTTTTTAGAAGTGAGGTAGGACTGTCCAGTGACCTTGGGCGTCAGTGCACTTCTGCCTAGCCGCCAGCGCGTGCAGGCCCCAGTCCCCATAGCAATGGTGCCCGCCTTGAGCTAGGCCACTCAGAGAGTTCGCTCCTGGCATCCATCCGCACACCCTGTGGCGTTGGTACCGTTACTCCGTCTTACAGAGGAGGAAACCCAGGGTCAGAGAGGTTAAGTAACGGGTCCAGGACAGCGTGACTGGCTGGGGATAAAGACGTTCATTCACTCGCTCCTCACGGTAGCCATTCACAAATAGTCACTGGTGGCCCACTAGGTGCCAGGCGTCCGCGGCGGACTCCCAAGGCTTTTAACCACTCAGCTGCTCTGAAGTTTCAGACGGAAGTGCTCCGAGGTTAATACTGCCCGCCCCGCCTCCCCTCTGCTCGCGTCCCCTCTCCTTCCCTCCTCTCCTTTCCCTGCGCTAGTAAACATCGTGAATAATGGATGGGGAATCCTGGGGCTGTGGCCGCGCCACCCTCCGGAGATGGCAAAGCCCGGTTCGGAGAGAAGCCCTGAGCGCCCAGCGGAGCCCACGTCGCGGAGGGAGAAAGGCCTGCCCCGCCTGCGGGCTGAGCCTCGCGCAGCAGGGTTTGGGCGGGTTTCCCACGGGTTAACTAGGCGGAGGTGGGACCACCCAGGGGCCTGAAAGGAAGGCCTGCTTGGATCCGGGTTCCTGTCTGGGGTCTCCCCATCCTCCACGCCCGGAGCCCTGGGCAGTATGGCCCTGCAACTTCGTCAGAGGGCTCAGCCCAGGTGCGGGAGGTCCAGCAAGGCCCTTTTGCTAAACCTCTCTGGGCCTCAGTTACGTGAGCTCTACAAAAGAATTGCACTAGTGTTTGCCTTTTCCCGTTCTGGTGAAGCGCTTGAGCCAAAGCAGAGAGGAAAGCATGGAGCACGGACCCTGAGTGCTCAGTAAACCTCCTTATAAGCTGGTGCTTTGGGGCGCAGGGCCCTCAGATTAAAAAACGCCTCTCCGTCTCGTGCTGGCTGGGAGGCCTTGAGCCCTCGCAATGTCTCTGTAATTTCTCCTCCACTGATGGTGGTGAGGCAGACACAGAGATAAGCATCTGGCACAGTGCCTGGCACATCGGGATCATGGAATAAGTGTTCCTCTCTCCTTCCTCCTTCAAGCTAAAGAGAATGCCTTTGGGAGTGGGAGTGTCCCGGCACATCTCCCTGGAGATGGCTGGTCTGCAGGTGCAAACTGCATGGTTGGTCTCCTCTATTCTCTCAGCACCTGCTTAGTGCCAGACCCTGTGCAGGGGGCTGAGGCCCCGCTTTAGACTGGACTCCTTCCTGGCCCCTCACAGAGCCACCCATCTGAAGTCCACTGCAGCCGAAACCGGTTTGGCTCAGTGGTAGAGCATCGGCCTGCGGACTGAGGGGTCCCGGGTTCGATTCTGGTCAAGGGCATGTACATTGGTTGCAGGCACATCCCCGGTAGGGGGTGTGCAAGAGGCAGCTGGTCGATGTTTCTCTCTCATCGACGTTTCTAGCTCTCTATCTCTCTCCCTTCCTCTTTGTAAAAAACCAATAAAAATATTTTAAAAAAATAAAATAAGAAAAATAAAGTCCACTGCAGAAAAATGACAGGGTACTTGCAGGGCAGTAGAGGGGTGTAGATTCAGGCACAGGGCACAGAGCAAGGCTGGTGGGATTCTTGAAATACAGAACATGCACCAGAACCATGGGTCTCAGGAGGGCTGGGGTCTGGACAGTGTTCTAAAACTGGGTCTATCTCAGAGGGAGAGGGCTGCACTAGAGGACTGCTAAGTGCCTCTGCTCTAGCAAAAGACTGTCGTTCTGGTTGATTTAAGTGAAATGTATTTTGAGCAAATCAGAGCTTTTCTCCAGAGACATTCAACTCCCCAGAAGCTGAATGCGGTGTTATTTTATCACTCACCAGCATTTAGGACCATTCATTTTTGTTTCTGCCCAAAGCCAAAAAGGAAAAGGGGAAGGGGAGCTGGGGATGTTGCATCCTCCAGGGAGAAGATGCAACATTTGAGACCGCACTCCCTCCCTAATATCTGAGTTGTCTGTGAAGCTGACACTCCCAAAACAGAGGGAAAGGCCCATCCACAGCCATCCTTCTCTGCATTGTCCCTTAAGGGGCCTGGGAGATACTAACCAGGGTTGAGGTCAGGCAGAGGTCAGAGACAGAGCAAAACCAACAGGCCCCCGTAGGCCTTCAGAGCTGACTTTCAGCGCATCAGCTTCCACTCCAGCATCCCAAGGCATTAGGGTCACAAATCAAAACCCAAGCTTGCATCTGGCAACCTGTCTTCCCTGGGTTTCCCCCATCCTTCCTTTTAAGGTCCTAGCAGCTCTAGGCAGCCAGTAATGAGAGGAGGCCCATCCTTCGGGACAGTCTTTCTGAGAAGGCCCTGGAGATAATGGACTAGAGAAGAAAGGAGGAAGAGACCATACAGAAAGCAACTGGAAGGAGAACCTTAGAATACAGTTAACATTCTCTACACTTTACAGAATTTCAAACTTAAATTCTGTTCAGGGCAAGTCCAGTAAAATAAATGAGCTGGGCTCCTAAAAGGGAAGATGGGGACTGTGATAAACTGGAAAGCACATGCCGCCCCCCCACCTTAAATGAATTAACTTAATTAATTGTAATTAAATTACAATTAAAATATTCCCCACTCCTCCACACACACATGCACACACATATACAAACATGCATGCACACACAGACACACACACACACTCACATATACCATATAGGCCAAACAAAATCTGTCTGAGGGTGTAAGTAAGGACCATGTGGGCCCTCAGGCAAGTGACATTAAGGGGCAATTTCTTCATTCTACAATCATTTCAGAATACCTACTGACTGCTGGGTCTTGTGATTGATTCTGTAGATACAGTGCACACTGTTTCAGCGGCTCAGAGTCTAGTAGGGACATAAAGTTGCCACATGTAAGTTGAAATCAGGACACAAAGCACTTGGTCCTCTGGAAGGACCAGCTCTGTAGGGATGCTGGGGCAGAGGGCAAAGGCATTTTCCTGTGGGCCAGTGGTTTTCAACTTTACTAATAGACGAGTAGGAATTATCTGCAGCCTCTTAAAATACAGCATCACAGGATCACAGAGATTTTGACCACAGGGACTAACTTGACTTTTAATAAGACATCCGTGATTCGCATACAGGTAATCTGGAGATGGTTTTCCTGCTTTGAGTTTTTTGCATTGTTCTCCATTATCCCTTAAAAGAAGGTGCTGTCTTATGATCTGTGCTCATTGAAGGGCCCTGGGACTTCTTTGAGGATAAATCTTATCAGTCCCTGTGCCATGTCTACAAGCCAGGCATCATGTAGGAGCTTAATACAATCATTTGTGTTGAATGAATGCAGGCATGAATAATATCCTCCCCAGGATTCTGTCCTGTGATGGTAATAAAATTAAAAAGAGCCATTTATGGAGTAGTTTCTGAGTGTCATGCCCCAGGCTTTGTGCATTAGAAGTATTGTACACTGAATCCCTACATCAAGCCAAGGAGGTTGATATTATCATCTTCATTTTACAGATGAGAAAACTGAGGCACAGAGAGATTCATCATTAACTAAATTGCCCAAGGCCACACAGTTAAGCATTGGTAGAGTGAGGACAGAAACCCAGTTGACCTTAATTAACATCCTAGGCTATCAGCAGTTTCAAGGCCCCCCAAGCTCAGGGGCAAAGGCATTGGGTGCCCCGGTTTTAGTTCTCTCCCACAAGGCAAGAAGGTCTGGCTTTCAGGGGCTCAGAGGCTGGCCCTGCTCCAGGCATGCTTCTGGAGGTGCCTTCATGGAGAAGCCAGTGACTACCCCCTCCCACTTCCATCCCTGGCCAAACTCCACCGTGGGGAGTTGGGGAGGGGGAAGAGGAGTGGAATGGGAGATGGCCCTGATAGGACAGCCGAACTCAAGATGCCATGGCTGGGAGGCAGCTGGTGGGGCTGCCTGGCCAGGTGTTCGCAGCCGTCAGCCTCGCCTTCCTCTCCCTTTCTCTCATCTCCTTTCACAAACTTCTCACATGTACTGGCCGCCTGCGCAGCTGCTGCGGGACCCGCCTGTCGGCCGCTCGCCTTGCATTGTCTGCGATGATTCAGAGGATTCGAGATGCCCAGAGGGACCCAGGAGCCCAAGGCCGGGCATCCATGGGGGATCAGCACGCGCCAGGAGTCCTCCCCTTCCCCTGGGGTCCCCACAGAGGACTGAGCACAGGCTCTTGGGCAGTCGGGCTCCAGGCAGGCCCTGACTGCTCACAGTCTCAG